GGGGCTGACAAGATCCGTGTGCCTCGACAGGCTGTGAGTGTGTGAGTGTGTGACCATAAGCTGAACCTGGGAGCAGTGTGTGTAACAGTCCTTCCACCTCAAGCTATTCATGGGGACAGCCCAAACTCTTGACTTAGTGTGTCCTCTGGCCTTGCCATCCTCAGGGCTCCCCCAGCCCAAGGGCATCTGAGGCTCCGCTTGGAATATTGAGCAAAGAAATGTTGGCTTACTGGTAAGAGAATGTGGTAACCAATAAATGCAGCTCTGGCACTTTTATAGCCAAGATTAACTTGGTTGGGTCTCCTCCCACAGTAGCAAAGTTTTCCCTCAAGCAGCTCAGTGCAGATCTTTTGATCCTTATACACTCTTTACATAAGTGCTCTTGTATGTTTGGCTGAATAAAGTTAGACTATGGCATGGAATTAGAATCATGCAAGTCATGGTATTCCTTGTGATGCTCTCTGGAAGCAAATTTGGACTTTGAAGAAGCAGGATAGGAAGAGTATTGATGCTTTTGAACTTTGGTGTTGGAGAAGACTCCTGAGAATATCGTGGACAGCCAAGAAAACAAACTGATGGATTGTTGAACAAATCAAACCAAGTTCTCACTTGAGGCACAAATGACCAGGCTCAAATTATCCAACTTTGGATACATGATGTGAAAACCCAACTCTCTGGAGAAAGCTGTCATGCTGGAGAAGGTAGAAAGAAAGAGAAGAAGAGGATGACCAGCAACAAGGGGATCAACTCAGTTACAGTGGTGATGGGGGCACCACTGGAAGACCTGAAAGAACAGGTTAGGGACAGATCATCATGGAGAAAATCTATCTATGTGGTCACTAGGAGTCGAAAACGACTTGATGGCACATAATCAATCAATCCATTAATCAAGTGGTATGGAACAGGTATGGAATGCCAAAACAATTACTCTGAGTACTAGTAAACTATATAATAATAAATAATAATAAATAAAATAATAAAATAAAATAAAAATAGTAAACTAGTAAATTTCAGAGAGCCAGTTCGGTGTAGTGGTGAAGGCACCGGGCTAGAGACCGGGAGACCATGAGTTCTAGTCCGGCCTTAAGTACGAAGCCAGCCGGGGGACCCCTCTCGCTCAGCCCTAGGAAGGAGGCGGCGGCGGCCAGGGCAAACCGCAGCTGAAACCTTGCTAAGAAATCCGCAGGGACTCGTCCAGGCAGTCGCCAGGAGTCCACACCGACTCGAAGGCGCGCGCCCAGCAGCCAGGCTGAATTACTGCGTCTGAGCTTCTGAATTCGTGGGCGAGGGGGCGCCCCGCAGGCTTCGGCTCACGTTACCGTAGATGCGCCCGAGGAGAACGCAGAGGCGAAGCGGAAAGGGGCTTTTGCCGGACTGGGCGACGGCTTTCCCTTTGCTGAGCTCTCAGCGGCAGCCCCGCTCCAGGGCAATATGCTTTGGGCCAAATAGGCGGGACACGTTTTCCCTAGGACTACCCAAGCCCCTTAGAAAAGTTTCAGGAGAACGTAGAAAACTTCCTTAAACTTGGAAAAGTTTCTCAAACGAGCGGCCGACGCAGCGCGCGCAGCGACGCCGGCACCCGAGCCCCTCTCCCCTTTCGAGCCCGAACGCCACCTCCCCCCCGTAGTTCCATTCAATGGAACGAGAAAGGACTACGTTTCCCAGAAGCCTTCGTGCCACGAAACCGGAAAAAGATGCGTTCCGGCAGCTTCGTTGGCTGCTAAGAGCGATCTCGCTGGGGAGGCTCTCGGCGCAGGACCGGGAACCCGTTTTCTTTCGGGCGCTTTGATAAGTTGGACCCGCGCAAACACAGCGCGTGAGCTTCCGGCGAAAAGGGTAAAAAAATCTGATCTGGGTCATCAGAGGCTAAGGCCGGTGAAGGGGTCATAGTAGCTTCGTTGCATCCTGGGTGCTTCCTTATTCTGATCATGGGGCTGGTAGGAATGCAGAGGATTCAAGCGCAGCTCCTAGCAGGGTTTTGCTTTGTCTTGTTTCTGTAGCCACCAGGCTCCCCTCCTTTCCGTGGTCAAGAGTTCATCCTCTGTCTACCGAAAGGGCGCGCTCCTTTAGCCAGGGCTAAAGAAGAAGAGGGAGGAGGAGGAGGAGGAGGAGGAGGAGGAGAAGAAGAAAGCTGGTCTCCAGATCACAGGTGGGCGAATGGAAATGAACGATTCGTCTTCATGGCCTTTTGATACCCATGACATTGCATTTTATATATAGGGCTAACGAGAAGACTAACACTGGAATGGATGCAAATAAGACAGGCCATAACTATACTGGGAAGAAGATCTAGAGGTGGCAAGATGCTCCCCCGTGATCTAAGATCCCTTTGGGAGAACCGAGCTGCATTGTAGCACCGTCTCCATGTCACCGTCTTTCTGCCCCCCACCCGAAAATGCAGAGTTAATGGATTGAAACAATTCCTCAAGAAAAAAAAAAGTGTAACATCTTTTAATGTTACTATTCCGAAACTGGGGAGGGGGGAAGTGAGAGAAAGAGAGTGATGGGTGAGTGACTCCTGTTTCTGACCTAGGTGCACCATTGCTGCAGGCCTTGCACTGGTTAGGAATGGGTTTCGAACGGCAGTTCAGGGTGCTGAGTGCTGCCTTTAAAGCCCTACGTGGTATCTAAGAGGCAGCCTTTCCTAAACAGATTCAGCTCTCCCAATATGGACAACCAGAGAGCTATGGGTCCTTACATACTTGGAGCTATGGTTGTGTGTGTGTGTGTGTGGTGGGGGGCCAATGGGGGGTGTTTTCCGAGGAATTCCCTCCAAAGATTTTGAGGCAAGGACAGCCCCTTTTCTCATGGAAACTGGTAAAATCTGGACTTACCTGGAAGGACTTTGGGGTCAATGACATCAAGGTTAGTTTATTGTTGTAATGTCTGGTATTAATATAATTTTTATTTGTATTATTACCTGTAATTGCATAGAGTCTGTTAAGGATTAAGATGGGGATAAATCTCATAAATAAATAAGACTGTCAGATCTGGGCTGTAAAAATCCAGGTAACTACATGACAACGGAGGCATACAGAAAATTCTGTTCTTTGACACCATTTAGTGGTTATCTAAAGTTTTGCAGCCCTAATTTGATAGCCTTAAAAATGTGTCTGCCCATAAAAAAAGGAAAATTGATCTGAATTAAATAGTAAATATTTTTGGGACCTAGAGGAGGTGATATGGAACAACCTCCCTGTTTTACTTTCTAGTTTAATTAGTGTTTTGAGACTGGACAGCCTGACTGTAGTGCTGTGAATGGCAGAACCTCCCATGACAACTATTTTATTGAGCACCTGTAATATGCCCACTGGATCAAAAAGATTGGGGGCTCTGGTATTATGATATCCCTCCAACTCTAAGAATACAATCACACGTAACCACAACTTAAAAAAATTACTGTTGCTGGTCATAGCCCATTTATTGTTTGCTTTTTCCAAGTTGTTGGTTGTGTCATCACTTAAACCATTTATGATGTCTTTATCACTTCATTGTTTTTACCAGCATGATAAAGGACAAAGAAGCCTTTCAGAGACTGAATTTCCTCTACCAGGTAAGAAGAATTTCCCTGCGTAGGAATTAATTTCACAAGGCTGTTTGAAATGGGGGTTGTAAAGAAACGTGACCCTTAGCTATCTCCCAGCTTCCAATTTGCTCACAAACGCATGTGAAATTCCTATTTTTCTTATGGGTATAATCAGAAGGACAAGTCGTTTAAAAACAATGTAGAGAAAGCATGCAAAGCATGGATTCGGGAATTCTTTCCAACCCCTTTTGCAACAGCGTCTAAGGATGCATCTATTTTTTCTGCAACACGATTGTCCGTGTGTGTGCGTGTCCATGTTTCGACTCTCGGAGCGTGTTACATCTGCATGTGTTTGTATGTGTGTACATTCTCCCCAGAGTTAAATCAGGGCATGCACATATGTGTTAGTTGCTTGGGTGGTCTATATGTTCCTGCTGAGCCCTCCTGTGTATATGTAAACTGGGAAGCACAGAGTGGGCTGCATATACATCAGGCTTGGTCACATGACCAGGAGGGAGGCGGGGTTAAGAATGGAGCATTTGGTAGGATTCTGTAGGGAAGCATTGGGATATTTTTTTCTGGATTCTTCACAACCCTAAACTTGCTTTTTCCAACTTCTTCCTCCGCCCACAAGAAATTTGATCCTGTTTTCAAATAATGATCCTATAGACCAGTGTTTCTCAACCGTGGCAACTTGAAGATGCATGGACTTCAACTTCAACCTTGCTGGCTGGGGAATTCTGGGAGTTGAAGTCCACGCATCTTCAAGTGGCCAAGGTTGAGAAACCCTGCCCCAGACCTTCTTTCCAACATTCCTCAGTTGGAAAGAAGTAAAAAGGCTCTGAAATGTGCTAAACCAAACCTAAATCTTCAGGATCTGTGTTGTGTTCCAAATCCTACTGTAGAAACAGCAAATGAACAATCTTCATATTGTGGAATTGGAGCACATCTGGAAACAGCCTGAACTACTGGACAGATCAGATCTTGCATGCATTCTCCCTTTCATATTATCCCCACCCCCCTGCCCCACAAGTGGCTTTAATACCACAACTTTGAGATGTAGGTTAGGTTGAGAAATAATGACTGACTCAAATAGCCTTTAGTCGCTGGTGGCTGAATCAGGGCTGTGCATCTTCTAGCCCAGCATTTTAACCACTGCACTGTAGTGAATTTGTACTGCTTGGCTTCATTTTGTGAAGCTTGTTTTTTCTCTGTATGTATATATATTTATTTATTGATCTTGCAGAACAACTCCCTGTTTTGCAATTGACTCCCAGCGATAAACAACATAGTATGAATGCCATAAAATAAAATGTCCATGGTAAACCAACAGTCCAACTCAACCAAATTAAATTAAATTGCCCACAGTAAAAGTAAATTGCCAATGTTAACATTACATAGCAAACATATTTAAAACCAGAGCATGATTGTAAGATCCAGACAGCACCACCATCAATCACCAAAAGCTCTCCAGGAGAGCTCCATCTTGACTTGCTTCTGGAAAGCAGTCAACAATGGGGGCCCATCTGACTTTCAGGGGAGATTGCCCACAATACGAAGGTCCTAGTGGGGAAACAATCCCCTTTGGCTTGGGGTATCCCTTATCACCCTCACAAAAGTGGGGAATCACCAAGAACGATCTGCATGCCCAGGTAGTAAGAAACAACAAAGGGCTCCTTAAAATGGCCTTTCAGCATCCGTAGTGAAATAAGATACCTCCTTACTTCAGTGATCCCTTTATGCTTCTCAAGCTGTGAAGTCTGTCTCAAGAAGGTTGATATAGCTTTTAAGATGCTCTAAGGCTCTTTACGTGTTTTACAATCAAAGACGTAATAGGACCAGGATCATTCCCGTAAGATCCATTTGTTAAGAGGCAGCCGGGGGGGGGGGGGTTGGGATGCCTTTTGGCTTG